AAAATATTTCAGATTTTATGCTCGTAAGAAAACTTACTTCAGGAAAGAAAAAAGTAACTTCTTCTCCTGCACACGTGCACGTTCCGCGAGGGGCGGCAATGAACTAAGGAACAAATGCCGCTCTATCTAGCGGATCTCGCCTCGCGGTCATACACACGTACCTTTTATAATTTAAGAAATATTCACGATGTTACAACTGTACCCTGTTACTTTTGTCCCCGGTCTACCCTACATTTTTTCCGTGTCTATTTTTATTATTAAAATATTGTATTTTAAGGTAGTAGGGGAGACCGGGGCTATTCGTGACACATTTTTGTTTCGAATTTTTTCTCGCTTCGTATAAATATTAAAAAAATTTTTATTAGTGCAATGTAATCGTCCACCTCTCTAGTTTAAAAGTAAAAAAATATATAGGTTTTTCTCTCACGAGTCTCTAAATATATCAAGAAATGTATCGCTGTGTGATGTGTCATGTGTCACGAATTGCCTCGGGGCCGGGGTAATTCGTGACAGGCCATAGGGTAATGCGTAACACTTTCTCTGATTGAACAAACTATATGGATTTCTTTTGTTTTTACAATTTTTATTTACTTTATACTTTGAAAAAGCCCTTATTTTTTATAATTTACATATTGTGTCTATTTCATTAATCGCTCTCATCGATCACATTCGATTACGGGGAACCACTTCTCGAAGTGTTCACGGCCCCTGCGAACTGGTTCTTCTTTTGAACGCTTATTCGTGGTTTTTTTGGTTGCCCCGATTGCTCGTGTCACGAAATGCCCCGGCGTGGTTTTTCCTCATTTATTGTCCGTGACTTACAGAGATAAGAAAGAATACCATAAAATCTACTCATGCATTATGCTTAGTGAAGTCGAGTGAATGAATACAACTTACCGTTTCGGATCTCTTATTATTTTATTCGGCGAGAAAACAAATTTTTGGGATTTGAAAAATTTCACTTTGAGCACTTGAAATCAGACTTTCTGTCACTGAGAGAGAAAAATAGTTGACACGCAAATGCCATTCCGTTGGTACCTAGAGGACACTAAGAGACATATTACTAGGTTTCTAGCAGCAAGCATTTTAAAGTTAGGCCCGCGAAAAAATTTCAGCAGTGTCACGAATATATATATATATATATATAGCCCCGGTCTCCCCTACGTCCGTAAATTCATTTTCTTAGGAATCTTGTAAAATTTGGACAGCATATTAATGTAAACACGCTTTACACGTGCAGTTAGAAAAGGATTGATGGAAGTCAAAATTAGCATTTTTTACATGTATTATAGGACGAAAATAGCTTCCGATGTTACGTTTCTAATTATAGAGATCAAAATACTCTTACGGTTTTAATGAAAAATAAGAGACGATAAAAGAGACTTGCAAGAATATTCTTACAAAAATACAAGACCTTTGACCGCCTAGTTTCGAAGCAATTGATACGTAAAGTACACAATTTCTGACAGCGGTGGACAGCATATGACAGCTAACCTTTGAAAATCTAATAGCACATGTCTATATATATATATATATATGTATATGGGATTCTTACACACACACATGAATAACGCGGACAATCCCAGCCAAATACTATATATTATTTGTCTATCATTAACTTTTTGATGGTATTGTCACGAGCGAACTACCTTAATAATAAAAATAAATACGAAAAAAATATATACAGGGTATCCCATTTTAATCGATCACTTCCCACAAATTTTTTTATTTGTGATTCTAGAAAAAAGACGAAAAAGTTGTTTGGTTTGAAGGGGGACATATAATTACAATGTCATGTCATACATGTAGTCATTTTCAAGAAATGTTAAAGGAGACTAATTTCTTAACTGGAACTTGATTTTTTCTTTAAAATAAAAGTTGTAGATTTCGTTGAGACGTTCAAAACACTATAATAAAGCTCTCTTTCATTAAGAATTTCCTGAGATATTTAAAATTTTGTTATATTTTTAATATAAAATATGAACTGTCTCGTAAAGTATTCACTTTTTGATGACTTTACCTTCATAATTTTCTACGTAGAATAATGAAAGAAAGCAAATAATAATAATAATTTTTACATTTGCAATTTTGCAAAATTGAATGCGTTTAGAAAATGCAATCGAATTTTTTAAAAAGATTCTGTTTTTTTACAATCGATTTTTTTCATTATTCTACGTATAAAGGTATGAAGGTAAAGTCATCGAAAAGTGAATACTTTACGAGATAGTTTATATTTTATATCAAAAATATTATAACAAAATTTTAAATATCTCAGGAAATTCTTTCCAAAAGAAAGCTTTATTATAATGTTTTTAAAACGTCTTGACGAGATCTACAACTTTTTAAAATGAGATACCCTGTATAATTTTTTTGTAGAGAATTTTATAAGTCTTATTTTTTATATATACATAATTTCGATATCGCTAATGGTTAGCAAGATATAAGCAAAAACTGAATTGCAGCACCATTTTTCCAAGATGGAGGCTCGAGCGCAACAGATTGAGTTCGGAATTTTTAGTATGTTTATAATAGTACGCCTGAATGAATAACATCTTAGCCAAGTTTCAAAACTTCATTAGTTATTTCCTTCTAATTTTCTCTATTTGACTGAACTAATAGCATCGTTGCAACATAGGTTACTCAATTTAGAACACTAAAACAAATTATGCCCAGGTTACATAAACTTTTAATTGTTAATTTTTTGCTTAATTTGGATCTTTTAATTTTTTCTAAAAATTGTAATCTGATATAATTACTTTTGTGAATATAATCTTCAGTAATTAAAAACATATTTTATGAGAAAATTTACAATAGGGTAACTCGGGGGAATATGCTATACTTAAGAAAAATATATGATTTTTTTCCTATTTTTCTTTCTTTTTGAGGTATCTTTGGATACTGGTCTTCTTTTTCTTTCTTTTATCTGTTATTTATATATGGTTTTAATGAAATATTTTGATTGTTTACTATTAAAAAAAAAAGAAATACAAAAGTGTTGCAAAAGTAGCATATTACCGGGTAATATGCCACAAAGTATGGGATAATATATGCCACATATACAAACATGTATAGTAATTTAACTTTAGAACGGCATTCTTGTCTAAAAACACGTAAAAGAATATTTTTATTACTTTCTTTGCATTTCAATAGTACTCTACTGTGTGCTACAAGTAGTCTAAATTATTCGGAATTCAATTTTGCAAAATATTAAGTACGTAGCCTATAATAATCTTAGCGCATGAAATAAACATGTTTATTCAACATTTTTCAATATTTTTAAATCATTTTTTCAATATTTATACGGCAAAATATTTATTTATACTGTTTACAGCTTCCTAACCTACTAGCAGTATCCTGCTACTAGGTTAGGAAGCTGTAAACAATACTGGGATTTTACCCCTATCTAAGTATAATAGTGGCATATGTTGAACAAAGTTAACGTATACATTCAAATTTATACTTATTTATACTTATCTCAGGTTTACAGTTATAATAGCTTCACACAAAGTTACTAGGGTAAAGGTTTATTTCTATTGGTAGATTATCGACTCTGTTATTTTACTATGTTTCCGCTCTAGTGATATTATATATTCATAGATACTTTAGTTACTGAGACTCACCGCGCTACACTTTTCGCTTATCGCTTCTTGATAAAACACGTGTGTACTAGCGATCACAGTTGTAATAAAGATACAGTTTCATTTAATCTCATCGAGTTTGTCTTCGACTCATTGTATCAATCCAGCACATTCTGACAGCATATTCTCCCAAGATGCAGTTTTATATTAAAATGAGCCTGTATTATACGATTGCCAGTAAAACGAATCGGCGACGTACTGAATACTTTCATCCTAACCAATATTAATAGAACGACAAACTGATCGAGTTAAAAATAGTGTAATGCTTGAAGAATATCTTATATAAAACACTAAGAAAATTCTAAAAAGCACGTTGTCATACTTGTCATACTGTACTTACCTCATAAAAACTATAATACTAACAGGATGTAGGTAAAACTTGGGCAAAACGTCAGATATAATATTTTTAACAATTTCACAGTATTTACAACAACGCTCCTAGCTGTAGCTTTGTTAAACATAACGAGTGGCATATTCCCCCCAGTTATCCTATACATATATGCATATATATATTTACATTATTTACGTATAAGTATTTAAGTACACATACATGCATACATATAGCAGAAAAATATATAAATTAAATTTATAATTATAAAATATATAATCTATAATTGTCTTCATACACTTACACATCTCACCAGCCCATATAAATTCTGATATTATGATTTTTTTATTATAACAGACATTATACAATATTTCGTGTATTTATTGTTATGTTATGTTAATTTATTGAGCCCTGCAACCGTACACTCTTTTTCAGCACCCACTAACGGTATAAGGGTTTGTATCAGTGCACAGTGGCATATTAAACAAACCTTAAACTTTATCAAAAATTCTGAAAAAATTCATAAGTGTTCCTTGAGATCTTAACTATAAGTTTAAACAATAATAATATTATAAAATTGATTTTGCAATTGTTAATTTAATTATTCAACTTTTGGAAAATATTACATAGTCGCATCATGTTAAGGACGTAAACGACCCGCATGTACGGTTACAGAGTTAAAATTCTGGATGTTTGTTAAGGGATGCAGTACAAAAATTAAAGTCACCTTTATAATAGCGCATAATAAGTCGTATATACATACATATCGTGTATAATTAACTTTTAAACATAATAAAATGTGTAACTATAATAAAAATTCTGTTTATTAAAATTATATACATACAAATACATACATAATATATATACATACAAATTGTTTATAAAAAAAGCAGACTTTCTGCCTTCTGCTCATGGCTCCTGCAATTTTATGTGCTTCTACCTTTAGACTTTAGAACAGGACCATATTAATTACAATTGTTGAATGTGTCGTGTAATGATATAAATTTAAGGAATCAATTTTTTTCGTGTTGCAGATTTTTCGAGGCATCAGTGGACAACAACTTCAATTATGAAGCTATAACAAACACTAGCTAACACACGTGCATGTCAAAAAATGTATTAGAGGCTGTGATTATTTTATCTCAAGCTTAAGTTTGAATAATCCAATTATTTGGAACTATCAACTCTTTCATTTGAAGATATTCCAATGATCGATACATTGGAGCATTTATTAATCATTGGAGAAATTAAGGATTGAGTGCTTGTAACTTGACAAACTTATCGAAAGTATTTTGTCGTTACGAAACAACTAAATAGATAAAATAACTAAAAAGATTCATAATTTTCGGTCTCTTTACACACATACTTACACACACTTACTCACTTACACACTTACACACACTTACACACACACACACACACACACATATATATATATTTAAGCAATAAGCTCCAGTAAAAACAAGAGGAAGAAGCATTGTCTAGAAACGAAGACGACAAGAAAACATTTAATATCACGGGACCGGAAGTGAGGTCTGTCACAGTTGCCAATTTAATAAGTAGCAATGTAGCAGCGCGATACAATGAAGGGTCGGAAGTTGTCATTACGGGGGATGTCGTCCTGGCAGCCCCATCCAGGTTAAGAGGAGCAATTAATCTATCAACCACGACAACTGCAAAGACGGCGACAACGACAATAACTCCCGGTATGGATACCAGTGGTGATTCAAGTATGGACACTAACGGCGGCACCGCTGCTACGAGCGTCGGTGCCATTGCTTCTGTCGTCGCCAACGCTGCATCCTTGACATTGGTTAAGGCTGAGAGACCGGATCATCTGACGGGGACGTCGACGTCGCCTGCGACGGTAACCGCTGTAGCCACTGGACCGATCGGCACCGGAAATAATCTCTTCAGCGGTATCGCTAACAGCAATAAGACAGCTAGGTCGGACGATTGGCTGGCGACGAACAGTCCGGGATCACCGCAGAACTCTTTACAGAGCCAGCACGTGGTTTACTCCACTTCACAGCAGCAATTGTCAGAACAGCAACCTTCGATGGCCCACTCCAGTCCGCTCACGCATCAACAAGTTAGCAATAATGGATATGCAAGTCCTATGAGCACCGGCAGTTATGATCCGTACAGCCCCAACGGTAAAATAGGTAAGTAATCATCATTTTGACAAAATTTGTGGATTACTTTCGGAAGAATACAATACATTAAGAATTATTTATCTAAAGAAAACAATATGTTTTTAATATAAATCATAATTATAAATTGTGAAATTTGCGTTATTACATAATTATAATTTTAAACATTTAAATACTTTTAAAATTTAAAACTCCTATTAATGTTTTCTTAAAAAATTTTATTTTGAATAACTGTCTTCTAAATAAAGTTAAAAATATATCGATCTATAGAAGAATCTTTTACTTTTAAAGAAAGTAAGCTTTAAGAGGATAAAAATGGTTACTTTTACCTATAGCCAAGCTCAATAGATTTCTAACTGATAATGACCTTGATCTCTGAGAAATCTGATTAATATATTAATTAAGATATATCTTTCCTGCCGTATAATTATAATAACAAATGTTACAAATAAGTAAATGTTACACTTTTTATCTTTTTTTATCTGAAGAAAATGTTACACTTTTTTATCTTGACATATGTATATATGTATTAAGATGTATTTTTGTGGTGGGTGTGCTATATATACATATAACTTAACAGAGGTGAGATTATGATTTTAAATATAACATAGGGTGTCCCGAAATTTATGAATCAAAATACCACAACAAGAAAGTTTTCAAAAAGATATTTGCCATTTTTCATCCTGAACAGTAGTTTTTGAGAAACAAGAGAATTGGCCAATCTCAGACTACGCTTAAAGCCGCGACGACTAACACTATCAACACGCAAATCACGAACAGGCCGCCGTGTAATCATAGTCTGCAATTGGCCAATTTTTACGTGAATATGCGTGCGCGTGTATGTGTTTTATTTAAACATACCTTTGTATATTCATAAATATATGATAACATTTCAGACTTGTTTGTGTCTAATACCTATATATTTAAAATTAACTGTCTTATATTGAAAATTGGAAAAATAAGTTTCGTCCAGAGCAACATTAACAATAAAATTATGTTTCTCAAACATAAATTAGCTTAATTCAAATTCAGTTTTAAATGCATTGTAATGTTTTTGCTTACAGAGTTGAAAAGTAGAATCAATATAAATAAAATCAATATGTAAATTAATCTATATAAAATAAAAACACATTTGTTATACATATAGAGGAGACTAGGGTTATGTGTCCACACCTTACGTTTTTTTCAAGTTTACTAAAAAAATTAATAAAGACATTTGGCTAAAATTTTAATGGTATAACCTTTCTACCTTGCTATTAAAAAAAGAAACATAATTAGAATCGTTGATCTTTTAACATTTTAAAGAGGCGAATTTTTTAAGTGGACAAGTCAAGCGTAGACAGATAGCCCCATATGCGGGACTATCTGTCCACATTCGAGAGGCTATCTGTCTACATAATAAAAAACACATTATTTATATTAATTTTTATACTTATTTATAATATTACTAGCTGGTTACCCGGGCTTCGCCCGGGAGTCGTTTTTCTTGAAACGACTTCATTTGTGTTTCAATATCCTTATTGTGGACAAACATAAGGAGTGTGTCGGTTGATTTAAAGACGGCAGTTTAACTTTCCTGCATGAATAACACATTCTAGGTGCTTAAGTTTTAAACTTTTTTACTTGACAATGATCACATATTACATCCATTTTCCCAATTATTACACTCGGATGAAATTGATATTCGTAATTTAAATTATAACTAAATGCCTCTAATTTCAAATCGGACCGCATAAATGTTTTCGTGGATTAAACATGTCGTAACCGGTCTTTTTCTACTCGAGTTTCACACTATTGAGTCAATTCCGCTTTTCCAATATTTCACTTACCGATCAGCGACATCATCCCTTGGTTTACCCGGGCGTGTTTTCGGGAATTTTGAGATTGCTCGTTCGCGATGTATACAGAACCTCGATATTTCACTTACCGATTACCGATTTACCGATTACCGATTTTATTCCTTGGTTTTTTAATTGAAAAATCGAGGTTTTGGGTACATCGCGAGCGAGCAATCTCAAAATTCCCAAAAAAACGCCTGGGTAAACAATTCTCAATTCTCAATTCTCAATTCTTAATTCTCAATTCTCAATTCTCAATTCTCAATATTTAATATAAAATTTAGAAATATCAGTATCCGTGATTAAATCCCGATATATAACTTACACAATTTTTAAGCAAAAATCGGCAGCCCTTTTACCGATTCTCGCTAAATTCAATATAATAATATTCTATCCATAAAAAAAAATTTAGCTCAAAATCTTAAAATTTGCAGAAATCAGAACAATTACGTAGATTTTTTTTAGACAGAAATTGGTAACCCCTTTATTAGGAAATTCTACCCCTGTTTTATATACAATTATTAAGATTCGGTCAATTATTTCCCGAAAAATTGGAAAAATTTCGGATACCGGTTCCAAAAAAGATCGGTAACGAAAAATTATACACTTCATATCACTCCCCGGAAAATTCTACGGTAAATGTTTACAATTAAGGCCTGACCTCCGATGACCTTGACCTTGGCATATGTTGTCAAGGTCACTCTCCTGAGTGACCTTCAGAAGGTTTTAGTCGGGGGTCGCTTCTTATTAAAAAGTTATAAACAAAAAAAGTTTTGAAAATATAGCAGTTATTTTAAGTACTGAGAGGCATAAACGACTAATATTACGTTTTTCTTTAAAGCAGAGAATACTCTATTTTGCGAGAAAGTCGCTGCTTTACCAAAACAACATTTAAAGCAGTAAATTGTTGATAAATTGAAGTCTGTTTGTTAAAGCAAAGAATACTTACATGGGTTAGATGACGCGCTTTAAACAGTTGAATACTTTTAAAGTGCGTCATCTAACCCATGTGGCATCTCGCATATTAACTTTCCACGCATGAAAAGTTCACGCATACACTTTCCACGCGAACCGAGGTTCACCCACACCCCCCCCTGCTTTCGGGGGAGGTCGGTAGCCCCGAAATAGTTCACGCATACACTTTTTACGCGAACCGAGGTTCACCCACACCCCCCCTGCTTTCGGGGGAGGTGCGGTAGCCCCGAAATGGTTTACGCATGGGTTAGTTGACGCGCTTTAAACAATTAAATACTGTTAAAGCGCGTCATCTAACCTATGTAGATTAGTGACGTGCTTTAAACAGTTAAATACTTGTAAAGCGCGTCATCTAAACTACGTATTTTCCAAACTTTTTTTGTTAATAATTTTTTAACGAATAACGAGCGACGGCTAAAACCTTCTGAAGGTCACTCGGGGTCATGGCCTTGACAACATATATCAAGGTCATTGAAATCGGTGAGGTCGCCAAACTTTTTTTTGTTAATAACTTTTTAATAAAAAGCGACTCCCGACTAAAACCTTCTGAAGATCACTCAGGAGGGTGACCTTGACAACATATGTCAAGGTCAAGGTCATCGGAGGTCAGGCCCTAATTGTAAACATTTACCAATTCTACCCCTGTTTTATATATAATTCTTTGAGGTTCCATCAATTATTTCCCGAAAAATTGAAGAAATTAGAAAAACCGGTTTCCAGAAGATCGGTAACAAAAAACTATACACCCTATAGCACTCCCCGGGAAATTCTACCCCTACTTCATATACAATACTTTCAAAATCGGTCTAATAGTTTCTAAGATTACTCCGAACAACAGTACAAACTTTTCCCCTTTATATAATAGTAGAGATTTATTATTATTAATATATAATATTGAAAAAATTGCCTAGTCGTTGGAGTCAGAGAAGTAGTAGGCACATTGTGTAGATTTTTTGACAAGTTTCCTGCGTAGAGCTGACTTTTCTTTATATACGGTGGCGTCAAACTGATTTGGAGTCTGTTGCAAAATTAATGTGATGAGTTTCTTTTGTCCTCTCAATTCTTTAATCTTTTTTTTTATTTAGAACCTTTACTTTATCCTTGGCAGCGTTTGAAATAGAAAACTCAATAATTTAAGACAAAGTCATATATTTAACCTGACGTGTATTTTTAAAATAAAAATTTGGTGACGATTTTTGAATCGCAGGATCAAGTAGTTGCTCGTAGGTCACTTTTTTACAGTAGCGAGTGAGAGCCCGAACATTTATTCCAAAGTCTAACGCTGTTTTTACGAAAAGATTCTCGCTCAATTTTGATTCTTTTAATCTCTCTAAATATAATTTTATTAGATATGTCTACCTTATTCGTTTTAAGGAAAATCTTTCTTTGTAGTTACGCACCATTTATAAAAGAAAAATTCATCATTGAAGTGTGGACACATTGCCCCATCAAAAATAGGACAGATAGCCCCGACCACGTTTTTCAGTCTTTAACATGTTGCCAATTTTAGATAATGCGGAATTAAGATTTGACGCTTCTCACAGCTGATAACTGTATATTAATTGATAATATTATGAACTGCTTACACTGTAAAAAAATTTTGTAAATTTACTATTATAGTGGGTAATTTTGAGACCCACTAATAGTTGTAATTATACAATATAATGGTTGTAATTTTACAAAATTACAGTACGGAAGGAAAAAGTAATTTTGTATTACAATTACACAAATTAAAAATATGTGGAAATTTACACCTATTATAGTGGGTCTCAAAATTACCTGTAATTTTACAAAATTTTTTTACAGTGTACTTTAATTTGAGTTAAACTACTGTCGCACAGCAAATTTTTCGACCGTCGAAAAATGTAAATAATTGTTTTTGCTTTCCTTTTAACGTATATAGCATCTGCGAGAGACGCATTGTAAGAAAACAAACAACATTTAAATATCTTAGGGAATTTTTCAACTACTTGTTACAATGGTAGAGACATTTGTCTCTTAAAACTTGAGATAGTAGTACTGTGTCCACACTTCAATGACGAATTTTTCTTTTATAAATGGTGCATAACTACAAAAGAAAGATTTTCCTTAAGACGGATAAGGTAGACATATCCAATAAAATTATACTTTAAGTGATTAAAAGTATAAAAATCGAGCGAGAATCTTTTCGCAAAAACAGCGTTAGACTTTGGAATAAAT